CGGGCAGGCTGCGGGGCCGGCCGCTCTTGGCCTGGAGCGCCTCATCATGGGAGGTGTACTTGGAGCAGAGCTCCCGCACGTCGGGCCAATTGAAGGTCTCCATGTCAAAGGGGCTTCGGGGGGAGGGCCAGGACCCAGGCGTGGTGGTCTTCGGGCTAGCAGCTGAGGGGCTGAAGGAGAAACGTCGTGGTGACGTCTCCCGGGCAGATTCGGACTTGGGCGGGCTGTGCTCCAGGGCCGTGGGCTGCTCATGGTTGAAGAGAGACAGCACTGGCTTCCTCCTACCTGTGAGGAGAGAGGGGCTGCCTGCATCACTGTGGGAAGCGAGGGGAGGATGGGAGGGCTCTGAACTGGCTTCAACTGCCCTTCCAGGCAAGGCTGATTGTCGGGGTTTGGGGTGTGACAGAAGAAAAATCTCATTTACCACCCACGACCCCCTTATGAAAGAGAAATGGGAAGAATGAAAAAAAGGCAGGGACGAAGGATGAGGGCCAAAGGAAGAGACGACAGCTTCTGCTGTCTTGAAAAAGAAAGTACCATAGCCCCATTTCCTACAAAGGTCCTGCGCCACAGGAAGGGCTTGGACCAGCTCTAAGGTTCACCCCAGCCCTCTTTTTTGGCAGAGGTTCTTTAAGGGTCACTTTCCCAGAAGCCACCTGGCTTCTAAAAGGCCCTCCAGTCCCAGACTTGTGGGAAGGGCCCCTGCCCCACCCGCATTATCATACCTTGGCCAGTTGCTGGTGCTTCAGCCTCCTCCTGCAGGTGGGGGATGGTGGGAGCCACCTTTTCCCACTGCAGCAATGGCCTGGCTGCCACTGACTTGCTCTTGATCCGGAGGCTGTACTGGCGGGCCAGCTGGTAGACCTTGTTCTTGACGCGCTCACTTACAGGGCCGTCCATCACATGGGAAAGCTGCAAGATGCGGGGGTGCAGTGGGGTCACGAGCTCCCCCTGGGCACTGCTGCTCAGCTCCTTCACTAGCTCCTTCAGCTCCCGGGCCAGGTGGGCCGGGCTGGGGTGCTCGGTGGGGGAGGCGCTGTCTGGCGAGGCAGCAGCCGACTCCTCAGTGATGGCCCCCAGCTCATGTTCCTCTAGGATGAAGAGGGGCTCGTGCAGGTCAAAGCCATTGGCCTGGCCTTGGACTGGCCCCTTCGGAGGGCTCCCCTTAGGAGACTCCATTCCCTCCCAGATCTTCACAATTTCCGAAGACGGGCGGAACTCAGCATCTGTGATGGGAGCTGAGTCTCCAGTACCCGCCTGGCCTGGTCCTGGGAGGTCAAAGAGAGCCCACGAGGCTGCCCGGGAGCTCCCTTGTCTCTTATGCCCCAGCGGAGCCACGGGCACTGGGTCTGGCCTGGGAAGGCTGTTAATCCTGGAGACTGAGTTTCTCACCAGCCCTTTAGGGATGAAAGAGAGGCTCTCCCGGCGCCTGACGCTAAAGCCTGCGTCCTGGTGCTCTGCGTTTTCGTAGTAGCTCTTGATTTTGTCTAGCAATAGCCGGTCTCGGGAAGAAAGCTTCGATTCCTTCTTACAGGAAGACCTGTCTGGCTCCACTGGGTAGACTGGGCTTGGGGACTCTGCCCCATTGGCAGAAGGTTCACTCTCTGCAGCCACCCCCACACTGGTGTCCACTTCTGCAGGGAGCTGAGAGCCAGGGTCTGTGGTGCTGCCATGCGGGGCCGGGCCTTTCTCGCTGTCCGCTAGGCTGAGCACACTGTTGCTCCGGCTGGTCAGCCTCGGGGTCCCGAATCCACTGGACCTGCCGTCCTCCTGTGCCAGGCTGCTCCGCCGAGAAAAACTGCTGACAAACCGCTCGGCAATGACGCTGGCCTGGTCCAGCACGGAGGGCGGTAGGAGGCTCTCAGGCTCGTGGGAAGCCTCTATCTCCTCTTCCTCATCTTCACTGCTCAGGGCCTTAGGGTCCTCTGTGCTCTCAGTCACCATGAAGTCCACCATGTCACCTGGAGGGTCCAGCCCCAGCAGCAGCTGGTGGGCATCAAGCTCCATTTCCAGGACTTCTGGAGCCTCTGTGTCTGTGTCCTCGGTGCTGGGACCTTCCACGGCAGCAAACACCTCCTGCTCCGTCCCAGACTCAGGGTCTGGCTCAACCTAGGACAGCACAAAGGCTCCTATGAGCCAAAAACCTCCCTCAAGGGACCCGAGGAGGGGTAGGGTGCAAGGCGAGCACGGCCTGCTCAAAGCCTACTGAGAAGGGGCTGCAGTTTACAACCAAAGGCAAGCAAAACAAGCGCGACTCAAGAAGGGGCAGCAAGGAGGTCCCTAAGGAGAGGAACATGACGATGTCCCTTAGTCACTCTGCAGTTGGGATGCTAGGCCCATGTCCTCAAACCCAAGGAAAATTCTAGGAACACAGATGGGATAGAGTGGTGGTACCTCTCAGTGGCAGCCTGCCTGGGAGATACAGGGACAAGGCGCAGACATGCAACATGGGGTCAGAGACATAGCACCAGGACACTGCCTGGTGGTAAGGCAGCTCCCTCCAGCCCTAGAGGCTCCCCACATGGGGTGGTCCTGGGTTGAGACCCAGGCCTGAGTAACATGAAAGGCCATTCCAACTTCCCTGAGGGGCAGGGGCCTCCCATGTGGGTCAGTGTTCAGAGGGCAAGAGGACCATGTGCTGGAATCCTGTCAGAGGGTAAAGGTGGGAATTTGCCTCCTACTAGCCAGCCTTCACCTGTGCACGACCCGGCCTGAGCCCAGCAGATGGTGGGAACAGAAGCGAATTTGACAGCTCCCTCTTGACCACCTCGAAGGTCATTTGAATCATAAGGCTGGCCATGGCAGCTTTCCAGAAGGGTTTTCAGGGAAAAGATAAGACACCACTATGGTCTGAGGAATCAGACCTGATTCCAATCATTCTGGTCTAGGATGTGCAGAGTGGGACCCAGGAGCTGGGGCCTCTAGCCACACGTAGCTTCTGGGCACCTGAAACGCGGCTAGTCCAGGCTGCAAAAACTTCATACCAACGAAGTACAGAATACCTTCTTTATAGCCTTTAATACTGACTACATGTTGAAATGAAGTGGGGGTGGTGGGAAGGAGAGTGCAGGCTTCCCAGTCACAGATCCAAGTCTAATCTGAGCTCTGCCCCTCAGAAGCTGCCCAATGACAGGCATGTCACTTAACCTCTTGGAACCCCTTTCTCCCTGGGAGAGCTGGTGCAGGGAATAGAAGAAATAAAACGCCAGACGTGTAGGAGGTGTCCACTAGATATCAATACCCTACTCCTCTGCCGGGTGGGACAGGCATGACTTAAATGTCTGGCACGCGGGCAGGGCATTATGCTCTATGCAAGGAGGCCTGGCCAAGGGGACCTAAGATCTGGTCATTTCCACTAACTGTGCCCCTTGGTAAGAGACTGCATCTGTCCAAAGGAAGAAACACCTTTTTCTAATTCATAGTAAGAGGCTGTCTGTCATCAAGCCATGCGCCCATAGGCCAGACAGGTCTCCTGAGGATGTGAAGTCCTGGGGAGTGGGGACTCCCTGTCCCCATGGGCCCAACGGAAGAGCCCATGCCTGAAAGCCCCGCCTGCAGACCTGGAGGTCTGGGCTCAGGCATTTGCGCACCATCCCCCTTCCGCCTGCTGCCCACTCACCTCCGGCAGGGAAGAGACTGACTCAAAGCTCATGCACTTCTCAGAGGTGGGTGGAGACCGGCTGCGGGGCCTTCTGCAGCTCTTGGGGCCTTCAGACTCCCTGCGCCCCTTCCCCTGCAGCAAGCAGAGGGCAGTCATTAGCTCCCAGACAATTGGGAGCTGGTCCCTTCTGCGTCCCAAACCTGGCAGCACCCCCTGAGCCCCAGGGGGGCTGGGCTGCATTGAGATCCAGCCTTTGACCTGAGTCATTCCAGAATCAGCCTGAACTACCAGGTCTGAAGACTCAGAAACCCCTGCCAGGCATGCAACCCTGCTGTGTGCCAGCTTCTCCCCTTCCCCACACTCCCACCCCATTAGTCATGCTCATTGAGTAGTATGCTGGTTAGCACCCAGTGCTGGAACAGCGCATGCCAGGGGCTCACCAGGGCGTGACAGCGAGCGAGGGGTTAAGAAGTGCTGATGGCAGGAGTAAAGGAACAAGGACAGAGGGGTGGAAGGGGAGGGGAGGGGACTCTCGGATGGGCATGCACGTGCCAGGGGACATGCAAGGAGGAGGGGAGATCAAAGAGACACCTCACCATAGCGCCCCGGGAGAAAAGGAAAGCGTTGGCCCGATAGTGCCAGCAGTGGAGGGCGGCCAGCAGGGAGCTGGCAAAGTCGGCTACCTGCTCCGCCACTGCCAGGCTCTCCTCCTCCTCCTCCTCCTCCTCCTCCTCCGAGCCTGGGGGCTCTGGCCCGGCCCCCTTCTCGCTGCCTTCATGCCCTTCCAGGTCCTCCAGAGAGACCTGAAAGGCCTGCTCTTCCTCCTCCTCCTCCTCCACCACCTCTTCCTCCTCCTGCTCCTGCCCGGCAGCCCCTTCAGCCTCCGACTGCAGGCCCTGCATGCAGGGGTGCTGCCCGAAGTCCAGAAGTGAGCCAGCAAGGCCCTCATGCTGTTCAGAGCACAAGTCCCCCTCATGACAGGCCTCTGGGCAGCCCCCCTCCTCCTGCAGCAGCTGGGGCCGGGAGGCTTCACAGAGAAAGCCACATCTAGACAGCCAACCCCTGGGCTCCACCGGGCTCCAAGGAGGAATGAGGGGTTCTCGAGGTCAGAAGCTGGGACTGGGGCCAGGTCAGGAACTCAGGACGCAGAGAGGCCTCCTTGCCCCAGAGAGAGGGCAAAATGAGAGGATCCAGGCAGGGCCAGCCATCACCAGGGAGCCACTCCAGGAAAAGGGTACAGAAGGGTCCCCGGGGCAAGGGCCACGGCTTATTCATCTCCACGACCCTCATGACAGAGCCTGGCGCACAGTAGGTGCTTGACAGGTTTGTTGAACAAATGAAGATGATAGGGGCTGACCCGGGCAGTGCCCCCACCACCCGTCCAGCCAGTCCCCTCTGCCCCTGGCCTTACCTTCATTCCTGCTCTGGCTGCTCCACCACCACCAGGTCCCCACACACGGCGAGCAGGAGGGAAGAGGGAGGGGAGATCAGCAGGCAGGAGGAGACCCCTTTACAGAGGCTCCAGGCCAGAGCTCCCTGGGAAAGGCCTCATGGGGGCTCCTGCTCCCAGAACCCTCACCCAGTCTCCAGGCTTTCAAAGGAATGACTGACAGAACAGGAGCCAAGGATGCAGACCAGCATGGTCACTCACTCCTGTCATCACCCAAGGACAAGGAGACGGGGTGCAAAGCATTGGGGGGTGGGGAGCTCATGCCCCTTCCCCAGACAGCAAGGAGCGAGACCCACGTCCAGGGAGACACAGAGGTAGAATCCTCTCTGAACTGTCCTCAACACCCTCACCCTGCTGGTCGCCTACTTAACCTTCCCGCCCCCGCTCTAGAGCTCACCTTAAAGGGACCCACTGTCCACCCTTCACGCACTCACCTTTCTCGCTGAGTTGCCTGGGCAGGTGTCTGGACGGCTCTGAGGAGGAGAGCGAACAGGCAGAGTCAGCACAGGCCTGCAACAGCCGTGCCTGGCCCTGATCCCGTGCTCGCAGCGCCACCAGCCCATCACCAGCTCAAAGTCCACGCCAGTAGGCCCCACACGGCCCTGAGGCCTAGGCCTCTCTCATCCAGCCCTGGGAAAGTGCTGTGACTGCCAGCCCCCAGGTGCAGCACTGCCCATCACCCCTGCATTAGCACAGCCACCCAGGACCCTCAGTTCTGGAGCCATAGCCCCATGCTGCCCCCTTCAAAACCACTAGCCTCTCTTGAAGGCCCTGGCTCCACCTCAAGCCCCACCTTCCCTGCACGGAGCACATCAGCGCCTTAGCTACACCCAATGCCAAGCCCCTTCACAGCACCCTGGCTGGAAAGCAGAGGTCACACCCGACTTCCTACGGCCCTTAGGGCCTGGCGCCTCGAAGCCTCGCTGCCGGATGGGCAGTGTTGCCCGGCTGTACGGGAGCTGACCAGGCTCTGAGGACAGAATACAAAACATATTCATTAGGCTGATGGTGTCACCACCTGGCACCACAGCCTTCCTGGGGACAGACCTGAGACAGAGAGGCAGGGATAAGAGGACATGTCTCAAGAAACTTCTCCCCAGAGCCTTGCCCTTAGCCTATCTGTTCTCGACCAACTGCAGTAAGTGGGAGGCCCGCTCTAAACCTGGAGCCAGAAAGAGAGTCTACGGAGGTCTCCCAGCTGTTCCTGGACAGGAGCGCATACTGAAGAACTTTTCTTTTCCACTGAAATGTGCATGGGCACACACACTCTGTCTGCACTGATGCAAGTAGACAAATTGTTTCCATAGTGGAAAATACAAAATGTCTATTCTTTCATTTTAAAGCTTGTAGTCAAGAATTTTTAATTAGTGACAAATGATGACAACAGCACCTTACTTATCCATATAGTGTACTTATCTGCCCGTTTCAGCTCACTGGAAGTGGGAAGCAGAAAAGGCCCAAAGGCGGTCAGAGCAGATGGCTGAGGGCAGGCACTAAAGATGCACAGTGGTCTGAGTCCTCCCTCTCAGCGACCTCCTGGCCTGCCTTACACACAGTTCTCACACATTTCAATCAGTTAATTTCTAACGGAAGAGGGAAGAAGAAAGGGCTACTACAGAAAAACACACTATGATTGATGAGAAGGAACACTCTTCAGTGGAAAGATGGACACAACACCTTAGTGCCGGCTGTCTCTCTGGCAACCCGCAGCCCCACCTCCCCCAGAGGCCCCGGGGAATCAGGCTGCTCACACGTCACAGAGACACTGCTGCTGCACCGACTCCAGAAAGGGAAAAGTTCAACTGAGTCAGCCTCCTCTACTTAAAAAGGCTCAAGAGTATGAAGCACGTTTTAGAGAGACGTCTATTTCATAATGGTTAAAACTAAAACACGAAAACAAACAATATCCAACTGTTCAGTGTTTATTAAAATCTCAGCCTTGTGGAAACTTGTGCTCTGAAACTGTTTATGTCCTGAGTGCCCTGCTTGCCGCAGGGTGAATGCTGAAGCTGACCGGTGGTATCACCACCACCACCACCACCACCACCGTCACTTACTGAACACTTCCACATGTCAGAAATTTCCAATTCGAAGCCATGGCAAGTTAAAGGGGAATGCTAGAGGGACGGGAGAATTACAGGAGAAAGAAAGGAAAGGGAAACAAGAGCGCCAGAGACTCAGGAAGTAACATCCCAGATTTGAGGCTTCTAACACATGGCACCATAGAACTTCTGCAACCATGACAAGTTTGCTGAGGAGAAACACCAAACAAAACAAAAACACAAAAACCTTCCAGAGGCCGCCCAGCTCCGTCTTCCAGAAGCCCAAAGCCTCCACGTCAACCCACACGGTTGTTCAGGGGACTCGTGGGTCATGCCAATCAAACCCAACTGTGGGCATCCCAGCCAGGACACAGCTCCCATCACTCCTGAATCTTCCTCTCTAGGGGTCTCTGGGACAGTTCTCACCCCAACTCCCACCTTGTGTGCATGTTTGGCAGGTGCCTAGCCAAAGCCAAATCCATCCCTGGGTCCTGGACTGAAGGGGAGGGTAAAAACCAACATAGAAAACACATACGCTCATCACCACGAGAGCCGAGAATAAAAGCAAAGTTTTCGCTTTTCAATAGACGATTCATTCTAATATCTCCAAGTACATAGGAGCAAGCCTAGTCATGGAAGGAAACCCAGGAGAGAAAAACAGAACATTTTCCAGAGGCCCAAAGTAAATATTTCCTGTCTGCATTTGGTGCCACTTGAAGTCTAATTCGTTTTCCCAACGACCTGCCTCTGCTCTGTTCCAGAACTGAGCTGAGGACCATCCATGACGTCCAAATATTACTCTGGCTGACTCCCAGTGTTTCCAGTGGCAAAGGAGGGAGGTTTGGATCATAGGGGAGCTAAAAAGGGGTGGCTGGAACAAGTATTCCTTGGGCCTTGGAAAAGAAGGGCTGACCAGCCCTGGATGAGCAGGAAGGGCCCAGAGGTGCCTGGTGGAGGGCAGGATGCTCCCGACACATCCAGACCCTCCCTCCTGGGGAGGTGAGAGCCATCCCCAAATGCTGCTAAAGGTTCCCCCCTACCCCGGCCCCCAGTCACGGGTCCTGTGAAGAGGCCTCACTGCCCACGCAGCCCTGCCTTACCAGACTGCCGGCGCCCCTGGTTCACATGGGCGGACGCTTCGTCCTGGGAGGCCTTCTTCAGGCGCTCTGGGCTGTGCCGGTACCGATTGGGGTCTGCACCCAAGAGAGACAATCAGGTTTTGGGGTTACCACTGGCCTTAGTGTGGCCTCTGCCCACTGCCAACAACACCTCTGCTGCTTTGCCCAGCTCCAGGGGCCAGAAGCTTCCAGAACTCCCTCCTCTTCTGTCCTCTTCCACCTGGAAGCACCAGGCATAGAGTCCCACCCATCAGCAGCACTGAGCCCCTAATCTTGCAGCTGATCCCCAGCCTTGACAAAAGGAGCCTCCCCATCCTCCCTGCTCCCTGGGATGTAGTATCAGGCAAAGCTTCCCCGGGATACAGTCTGACCTAGAGATGTGCACCATTAGGGACAAAGTAGGCAGAAAGGGTGCACTTACAATAGGAATCCATTTCCAAGATGGCTTCTTTGGCCTGGAAAAAAGGAAACCCACCTAGTTACCACCGTGCTATGTGCTATTTCTCCTTCAGCCCACAAACTCACTCTTGCTACACCGGGACACCTCACGGTGCTGCACTGAGGCCCACGGCATCTGCTGGCCTGATCCCATTGTCCAGTAGAGCCAACATCAGGAAGGTGAGGCCCCATGTACCCCCGGAGCCGGCTCTGAGGGACACTCTCTCTCTGTACACAGTTGGGAGTCAGGGGTGGGGACCCCCAGGGAACTCACCTTCTGGGGGATGGTGGTATGGTGATTCTCCAGGATGAGCCTCTTGATGTGGTGAGTCCAGCTCCGTTTCTCCTCCACTGTTCTGGCCTGTGAAGATGCAAGGGAGAGGGAGTCGGGGGTTATCGTGACAGGCCTGAAGCCATCCAGTGTGGGCTGGGGTCCCGCCGGGGAGGGTTAGGTGGGGAGATGGGCAGAAGTGGAAAGAGGGCCTGTGCTGAGGGTTCTGTGAGGTTACCTGGACTCCTCAGCACAAGCCTGAGAGGCACCCACAGTGACCTCTACCTTCCAGAGGGAGACTCAGGCTCGCATGGCTGGGTGAAGGGGGCAGGCTCTGGCCCCGGCCCGCGCCCCGGCCGCCCCTCACCTGGATGTTGTACTGCTGCTTGCTGTGCTTGTAGTGGGTGACGGTGAAGCACAGGGATTCTCTGGTGCTTTCGATCAGCATCAGGGAGGAGCACTGGGGCAGAGGGAGAGGGGAGTCAAGCGCCGGGGGAGGGGAGCTGACCTGGGGCCCCAACCCCTCAAGACCGTCTGGGAAGGAGTAATCTCAGAAGAGTGGAGATGCATCCACACCGACGCCAGGCCCAGTGAAGAGGGCACGGAGTGATGCCTGGCCCATTACGAAGGCGGGAAGGAGGCAGAGGAGATGGCAGTGGCCTGATTACCGGGATGTGACCCTTGTAGACAAAGTGGTCGCCCCGTTTCTTGGTGATGAGCAGCGCTTTGTCAAAGAGGAAGAAGGTCTTCTCACTGCGCACACGGTGCACGCGGAACGTGCCCTCCAGGACGAGCTCCCCATAGGTGGTCAGGTCCGGCCCCTTCCAGTTGATGAGCAGAGACTGAATCTCCTGCAGCAGAGATGCCCCGACCCCCAGGGTCAGGCTGCTCGTGATCCTGCTGGGGACCACACAGGGCCCCAGGAGACACCGCCTATATCCCCCAGAGACATGCTGCCACAAGGACTGCCCCCCTCCACCCCGGAGAAGCCCACAGACACCACCCCTCAGCTCGCCCCAGCAGGGCGGTAGCAGCATCTCCCCTTCCCAGCCCCACCCCACCCCACCCCTGCCTGCCCCTCCACCTCCCCGCCCCAGGGCACCTGGAGCCGGACAGCATGCTCATGCCTCCTCTTCATGTCGTTGATGTACCAGGCCACGCAGGTCATGGTGTCAATGGCATCCTCCACCACCTCGAAGCCATCCTCTTCCTCGTCAAAATGTTTGGCGATCTCCTGTGAGGGAAACAGGGGCTTAGGCAGCCCAGAATCAAGGGCCCTGTCCTTCCCCCAGCCCCCATGTACTTGGGAGGACCCTTGGGTTACCTGGAGTAGCAGGTGGTACTTGAGGATGCGCTGGACCGGCTTCAGGAGGTAGGAGCCCAGGGGCAGCGAGTGCTGCAGCAGCTCCTGACGGTCCCGAAAGAACTTGGCCTGCTGCTTGTCCTGCATGCACTCGGTCAGGGCGGCCACGGAGCTGGGAGAGGGGGAAGGGGCCGTCACCACGGGAAGGCCTTGATGGGGAGGAGGGGTGCTCTGGACTCGCCAACTGGCTCTGCCTCCCCTCTCCACCCCAATTACTCACTTAGGGTAGTTGTTGCAGTACTGGGTGTAGATATCAAACTCTTGGCTCTAAGGAAAGACCAAAAATAGTGTCTGCAAGGAGACTCACATTTAACTGTAAACCTGGGTATACTAAAGACACGCTCTTGGCCCCAGAGCACACTCTGCGCCCCTTTCCCCAGGCATCTACAGATCTATCTTTGTGCCGATCTGTGTCAGACATGCCATCCACCCAGCAGCCCCTGGGTCCACCTCACCCTTTCCATTCCAGGCAGGGCCCTCGGCACTTCCCCTGGAGAGGGGCCTCCCAGCAAGACGGGATAGGGGCAGGATACCGTCAGCCCTTTCCCCTTCTTACCCTTTCCACAAAGCAGCTGGCCACAGCCACAGGGTCACTATTGCAGCTGTCCAAGTCTCTGAGGAGCTGGCTGGGTGAGAGGAGAGTGGTCATCAGACCGCGGACCACTAGCAGCCTCCACAGCCACCGACAAACCCCTTCCCCAACCTCCTGGTGCCTAGACACAGGGCAGCCCTGGTGTCAGCGAGCCCCACCTGGGGCAGCAACCACAGAAGGTATTCAGCACCACCATAAAGATGGGGGGCAAAGAAGAGCCACGTGCTCTGCAAGCAGGAGAGGGAGAAGGGACACCAGTACCCACATCAGGAAAGAACACAGCTCCTCTGCAGGCAGAAGGAGTCAAACACACAAGAGCAGATTAAAGGGGGAAGGAGAGGGAACTTGCAAAGGGACCAAGATCCCTGGGTCAGAAGGATGCAGGAGATGGGCAGAGACAGGGAGAATCCCAGCACTGCTTGTTCTTAGATGGGGCACTATAGGAAACCCTAGAAATGGTTCCCTCACTGCCTCCCCATCCTGTGCTCCTCTTTGCGCAGGCCCCCTACCCTCTGGCCTAAATCTCACCTCTGTCTGCACTTCCAGACTTCTCCAGCTTGCCCAGCAGGAACTCCCTTCCCCACCTTAAGGGGCCTGGGGTAAGGTTCCTCCTGTCCTATCAACACTGTCTCCTGAAGCTCTGCTTCTCCCAATCCCTGGAGAGCTGGAGGCCCCTGCAGCACACTCATGTGCGATCTTTATGGAGCTCCTTTGCCCTGAAGCAGCCCCTCACTAGCCTTTCTCAGCCTCCCCCATCATATCTTGCCTGGTTTGTGTGTTCCCCTAATGGGTCAGATCACGTCCAGGGAGCCCCGATTTCCTGCTGAGTCAGTGGGAAGGTGGAGAAAAAATGAAGAGATTTGCTCATGGGGGACGAAAATGAGAGGGACAAGGGGTCACAAAAGGACAGAGGGAAGAGCATCACGTGCAAGGGTCCAGCAGTCCCCTAGGGGACCCAACACAGTTGTGGCCTCAGATGATCTCCCCTGCCGGACAGGAAGCACATTGGCCCCAGGGCACATGGTCCCACAGGCCCTCTCTCCTGCTCTGTACAGGGACACAGCACACTTCCCACCCTCAGAGATACGGTCCTGGGCCCCACGTGTCACAGCCCAGGAGACCAGGGACACCCAGGGCTCCTCCCGAGGCCCCGAGATGGGCCTCGCCGGTAGAACACGGTGAACGTGTGTCAGGCCCGCTCCGTACCTGTTCAGTGCGTAGATGTTTTCTATGTTTCCAAAGAGGGCACTGACTTGCTCCGGGTTCAGGAGCCCGGGTGTATCAATGATCTTCAAGAGGTAGTCCTGTGTGGAGAGAGGCATCAGAGCCCAGCCCACCAGGCACGAGCCTGTGTTCCCCTGCCCCCTGCCTCCCCTAGCCACACCTCGTTTCTGTGCTGTATTTTACAGCTGTGACACAATTGCACAGCCATCACCTACTGTACTGGGTTGGACAGTTCCCTCCCAAAATTAATATCCAATTGCAACCGCAGAATGTAGATTTAGGGGTGGGCCCTAAATCCAATGACTGATGTCCTTATAAGAGGAAAAGATACAGAGAGACACAGACGGCTATGTGAAGGCAGAAGTCGAGATGGGGGTGATGTGTCTACAGGCCAAGGAACACCAAGGATGACGGCCAGCAGCCACCAGAAGCTAGGAGACAGCCCTGGAACGCAATCCCCCTCTGAGCTTCCAGAAGGAACCAACCCTGCCAACTTCTTGATTTTTGACTTCTGGCCTCCTAAACCAGGACAGGATAACCTCTGCATTTTAAGCCATGCAGTCTGTTATTTGCTAGGCAGGCCTAGGAAATGAATACACCTCCCCCGAAGAGGGCAGACAGCTTCCACAGTGCCATCTCCTCCTGTGTGCCTCGCAGGACAAAACATCTACGTGGCCTTGCAAAGCCCCACATCTTCGATTTACAGATGAGGAACTTGAGGCTCAGGGGGTTAGACAGGTGCCCCAGGCCCCATATGTAGGAAACAACAGAGCAGGAATCTGAGCACAGTCTGGGTGGGGTCCAGAGTGGTCCAGCCTCCACTGAGCACAGCAGTACCCATCCCCTGGGCATCTGCGGGGAGTTCTGCTGCCCTGAGCCACTGACAGACCCTAAGTCATACGGCAGCGTGAGCAGCCAGCACCTTCCTGAGGCGGGAGCAGTGAGGCCTCTCCACTGCTTCAGGGAAGCAGGTCCTGGAGACAAACACATTATGGGAGAACTTTCCTTCCAGGGTGGAAGTAGGTTTATGCACAAGGGCTGGGCCACCCAAAGCCAGAGGCCAGCCCCAGCCCCAGAGGAGACAGGCATGCCCCCCCACAACCTCAGCTCCAAAGTCCCTCAGAGGGCAGGGGTGAGCCTCACCTCCACGATGCTGCGCAGGTCCTGCACGTATGTGCGCTCCGTCTCCACAATTTCCCGCACCACTCGGCCCAGGTAGCTGAGCTTGTGCACCGACGCCCGGCTGCTGAAGGGGGACAGGGACCCCCTCATGCTCCGCCAGCCACTAGAGGTGTTGCCGTTGGGGGGACACCGGCTACGTGGGGAGCCCCCCTCATTCTCGGCGGAAGCCTCGGAGCCGCTGGGCTCTTCCATGGCCCCGTGGCTGTCACGGGAGGAGCCCGACGAGGAGGTGGTGGAGGTCAGGCTCACTGGCCGCTCCTGGTCTTGGTGGAGGGAGGCAGAGACAGGCATCCTGGCATCGCTGCCTGGCAGGGGCGCTCCGGGAAGGTTCTGGGGGAGACAGACAAAGGGTCAAATCTGAAGAATCCTTGCAGAAACAAAGTAAACAGGTGGTTGCCAGGGGCTGGGGGAGGAGGGACTGGGAAGTTACTGTTAAATGGATACAGAGTTTCAGTTTTGCAAGAGGAAAGTTCTGTGGATGGATGGTGGCAATGGATGAACAACAATGTGAATTACTTAATACCATTGCACGCTGAAAAATGATTAAAATGTAAATTTTATGTGTACTTCACCACAATTTTAAAAGCAACAACTCAATCTCAAGGAAGTCCCTTTCCTCAAGACTGTGAGCATCTTCCAGGATGACCAAGTGACATTCCTGCCTGACTCCAACAGCTCCACCTCCATCTTTCCCAGGACGGAGGAAAGGTGGACCACATCCAGGAACAATAAAGGGCTCAGAAACCTGAGGCCCCGGAAGAGCGGAGTACATCCCTGCCAGAGCAGGAGTCAGGGTGCTTTCTGATGGAATCTGAAGCCCAGTCCCTCTGCACCCCTGAAAGTACTGAGCCTCTCAGAGCCTCAGCTCCTCACCATCTACCTACCCCAGGGGTGTGCCCTGGCAGGATGCAGAGACCTGCTACATGTACAGCTCTGAGCATGGTGCCCAGCACAGGGCAACAGCCCCATAAACATTCAAAATAGTGATGATAATGGTAGTTGTCAAAAAGCACTTACCATCTCTCAAAGAGCTTGCTCTTAAGGATCTAAGACAACACACATGCTAGAGGGTAAAATTCTCCCCAGGAATGCAGAATCTCTAGGGCACCAGTGGCTTCACCATGAACCTGATACCTTCCAGATACTGATGAGGAAGGCCAAGGAGATGGTACAGCTGAGCCCACATTACCCCTGCCCCCAGGACCTGGTCCAGGCCCCTGACTCACCCGGGCTCCAAAGGCACAGGAAATTCCCCATGGGTGAGCCACGGGTGAGTCTCCCTGAGCTCCCCTCAGCACAGCTAGGTCAGGGCAGCACAGCAAACAGGAAACTGCCCCCCAGGTGAGGCAAACACAGCCTCAGGTGGACTTTATTCCCTGATCAGATGGTGCAGCTCACAGGTAGGCCAGCCCGGAGCAGCAAGTCAGGGGTAGGCGGGTGGCTGTGGCCTTTGGGAAGGTCAGGGACACTATACCCCCACCTCAGAGGACCACAGCTCACCAACACCATTTTCCAGAATGTTCATTTGATTGCTATTTCCAAGGAAAAATGTTCCAGAGCATCCCTCTCACCTCCACTGACCCAAAGCCTTCTGCCCCTAGTTCTAGGGCTCAGAAGCTGCTAGACCACAGGCCAGAGTTATGAGGAGAAGGATCTGAAAGGTGCCAACACTCTGGTAGCCTTGAATTTGCTCCCTGGTTTTCTGTGCCTCTGCCCCAACCTGGAAACAGTGTCCCTATCTGTACCAGCATCCCTGAGGTCTGGCTTTTGCAAATTTTCTCTCTGCCATTACTCCCTCCCTATCCACCACCTGCCATATGGTCCCCCAACCTGTGTCACCTGTACCAACCCTCAGGTCTCAGAAACCAAACCTGGGGGTCCCTTCTATGTACTCGTACAGCACCCCAAAGTTACCCCTGCTGTCGCACTCACTGTGGAGACCCCCTGTCCTGACCTGAGGGCAGGGGCCTTAAAGGATATCTGGCAAATGGATAATGATGGTGGACACACCCATGCTACCAACGAGCTAAAGTCAGGAGCATGGAACCAGTTTGCCATCCATGCTAGCCCACAAGGATCCCCTCAAGCACAGCACTCTCTTACTGCGCATCTCAGCTGGGGGAGGGGGTCCCCTCCCAGTTGCTCCACATGAGCTTTTCATTTTGCATCTGAGGACGCAGTGGCAGCAAGGAAGCCAGTCCTACGTTCTCCCTCCCTCCAGGTACAATGAAAGGATTAATTAACAGTATCATCTTGGTGAAACTGAGCATCTCAGAGGAGAGCCCCTTGGGAAATGCATCATTGCTGCTTTTTCCTCCATCCTCAAAAGAGCCCTTAAGATTAACCAGCTGGTCATTTCTACCCATTGGCGTATCATTTCAACACAAAGAAAGACAAAGACCCAAACTCCACCCCAGCCCTGTGGGACTCGTGTCCTTCAAAGCTTGTGCACAGTCAGGCACACACCACCCCCTCTACCCTCCAGCCCCCCATGCCTGTCAATCCCAGCCGGAACAATGCGGCAGGGACTTACTGCCCAAGACCTTTTCCAGATGAAACCTGGGGTCAGTCAGCCCCTATGGGGATGCTAAATGGAAAAGGTCCAAGTTCCTAATGGATTTCACAGCTGGCCAGGTCACAGCCTTTAAGTGAAGGATTAGTCACAGCTCCCTATCCCTACCCCACACACTCTCAGGGAGATTTATCACTAAAGGGTACCTGCTCAGGGTCACTCTTTAGAGACCCCACCGCCACAGGGTGGCAACATAAGTTCACTTCGAGCTGAGGAACTAAAACATCTTTTCTACGTTTCTCTAGCTGCCCATAAACCACCTGCCTGCAAACCAAGCTCCTATTTTCAAAGTAGTGCCCAGTCCCAAATCCTCCTGGGGTTAAAACAAAGCATAATAGCCGACAGCTAAAATGTTCTGTAGACATAACAACTCTATGATGTCAGTACTATTATCCCCATTTCACAGATGCAGAAACTGAGGCCACAGGAGGCTACATGTCACAACATGTAGAGCCTCGATGTGAACACAGGCACTAAGGCTTCAGCATTCATGCTCCCTGCCGGGTGCCTCCTTGATGGATTTCACACCAGCTAAAACCGTGGACAGAAGATTAGTCACAGCCCTGGATGCCATGGCTTTGCCTCAGCATAAGCCATGGGGGACATATATGAAGACTTGAAAGATCAGGTCTTTTGACTTCTCACTTACCCCACAAAGGCCAATGGAGTTGCGTAAAAGGCTGAGAGTTAAGATTCCTTAGAGCTATTTCTTGATCTCCTACCATGTGACCTTTGGCCATTTACCCTTTCTTCAGAAAAACATAGTAAAATACAGATTCCACGTGAAAGGACTGCAGGTCACGGAGAAGGGAAGAAGTATGAGGCTGCCAGGATCAGACTAATTCTTCGGATGATGAGAGAAGCCCTGCAGTGACTAGGAGACCTAGGATCACAAGACTTTCTCTCCTCGGCAGGAAGACTCACTGGAAAAGAACACAGAGTCCCTGAAAGGGAAGAATAAAGAACAAATCGTGCAGTGAGAGCAGACAAGGCAGAGTCCAAGTGGGACTGTTAGCAGACACCATTAGACAGTGACAGAAAAAAGACATCACACTCAGTGTGAGTGCACTCTGGTCCTAAAAGCCCCATCCCAGCCACTGCTGTGTGTATAGTTCAGATTCCCCACAGAGACATCGGAAGCACCAGCCCACGTGCCCCTGGGCAGAGGCAACATTTCCTTCCTCTCCACAGAGCATCATTTCATATTGTAAGATTCACTCCAAAGTGAAGATTAGAACTCAGGTCTTCAAACTCATCTTGGACAACATTGTGTGGGCAAAGTGGGAGCCTAGAGAAGGTGGAGACAGCAGCCAAACCCTCAAGCCAGGTGCTAAAGCCCACCTCATTCTGCCACACCCAGTTCCGGTTCCCTTAAGTATTCCTCTGCAGTGATCTCTTCCATCTTTCAAAGTGAATCAATCCAGTCAATCATCAATCACTGAGTAAGTCAGTCTTCTAGAAAACTGTGTCTCCCATGCCTGGGAAGCCCTCTTTGATAGGGTCCCCCAAGACCTTTCCGATGAGCACAAGAAGCTGCTCAGACACACACCTTTATGAGTCCAGGGGGCAGGAGACGAAAGGAGATTGGTTTTCTTTTCTTTTTTTCTTTTTAAGCTTTCTCTAAATTTAAACTTAATCCACACCCTTCCTCCAGTCACACCTCTCCAGGTTATGGGCCCCTCCTCCCGGGGACCTTCCTTGAACATCCTCCCGCAGGGAGGCAGGCTGCTGCAGGCCCCTCGGATGCCCAGCACAGCTGACTGGGGCCAAGTCCCACATCCTCTCCTCCTCACTACGCCTCAGCACTATGTCCCCAACCTGACCTGTACTCTTGCCTCTGACAGAAAAAAAAAAACTACCCAAAACCCACCACAGCCCCCATGTCCTGTCCTCGGGGCTCTTGTCACCGAGAGAGTAGGACGCTGCTCCCACCCCACCCCCAAGTTCAGAAAGAACGGTCCACATGGGGCACCGACCTGGAGCCTTCTGGAGAACCTCTGCTTCTCTGGTCCTGAGGAATCCCCAGGACTCGGCCACGTTCCCTCCCTGCCTTCCCTCCAGGGCCAGTGGGCTGAGAAGGCAGGAGAGGGGCTGGAGGCACTTGCTGGTTAACCGCGCGCGGGCCAGCGCTCTGGAGACGCCCCGGAAAGCATTTTGGTTCCGAGAGAGGCTGGGACCGGGGCGGAGGCGGCTGACGTCATCCCTTCACCTGCCTCCCTCGCCCCACCCCCGAGAGGCGGAAGGACACGCCACACCTGCCCTGGCGGCGGGCAGGCACGGCGCCAGGGGGCTCCCCAAAGGAAACCGCTCCAAAGTCCGGCGGCCCCAGGGAGGGAAGGGGAGGAGTTCACCAGACCAAGTCTCCCCTCCGGGCGGTCGGCTGCCCGGCCCTCCTTCCCCGCCTTCTCTCACCACAGAACTACCAACACCTGCGACCAATTCCAAAGGCTCTCCTTTGACTTTCCCCAGAGCAGCCCCCCAGCTGCACCTATCTGCTCAGAGAGGGTACCAGGAGGAAGCAACAGAGAAAAGACACAGCTTTTCCAGACAAACAGGGAGAGAGCAACGGGAGCTTCCACAGGGATCTCAACCTGAGACCCTGAGACCCTGAGCCCGCCCAGCTGTGCCCTCCAGCCCCCAGCCAGCCCAACGCTGTCCCCACAGAAGCCGGGCTCTCGCAGTCTGATCCTACTGCTCCCTCGGCCAGCAGAGGGTGGGCAGAGCTGGTGAGGTCAAACCAGCAGAGGACACCTCTCAC